CTACCTAGTGCTATCTACAATCTTTTTTCACTGAAGGAGATAAATTTTGATGACAACCCTTTGCTGAGACCTCCAATGGAAATCTGTAAAGGAAAACAGTTGTACACTATTGCACGCTATCTACAGAGGGCAGATGAAAGAGATGGTAGGTAGTGAGTGATTGACTACCTAAGAAGTCATTTCTCTTTTATTTTATTTTAATTTAATTTTTTTGGAGACAGGGTCTCACTCTGACACCCAGGCTAGACTATAGTGGCATGATCACGATTCCCTGCGGCCTCGGACTCCTGGGCTCCAGTGATCCTCCCACCTCAGCCTCCTGAGTAGCAGGGACTGCAGGTGTGCATCACTGCACCTGGCTGATTTTTTAATCTTCTAGTAGAGACGGGTCTCACTATGTTGCCCAGGCTAGTCTTGAACTCCTGAGCTCAAGCAATCCTCCTGTCTTGGCCTCCCAGTGTTGGGATTACAGGTGTAAGCCACCACACCCAGCCACAAGACACTATCTCATATGAATTAAAAGATGGTTTGCTTTAATTGGAGGCTTTCAATCTGGCAGAGATATGAAAAAATTGATCATCTTTCTTTTCTGAAGGTTAGGAGTTTGTTTTGATAATTCAGATTATTTAATCCAGGTCCATACAAATTGAGACACTGAAAATAGGCAAATCCAAGTGGAGGAGGGGTGGGCCATTTCCTACCCTATTGACCTTAATGCCCTTCAATAGGTGTTTCATTGAGATTGTGGCCAGACTCAAAATCCACACAGAAATCTGTCAGTTTCAATCTGTTCTAACAAATGGAGTTGTTCTAAAAGACATTTGGAGTTGGGTGTGGTGGCTCACGCCTGTAATCCGAACACTTTGGGAGGCCAAGGCAGGAGAATCACTTGAGCTCAGAAGTTCGAGACCAGCCTGGGCCACATAGTGTGGCCTTGTCTCTATTTTTAAGATAGATAAATAAATAAATAAATAAATAAATAAATAAATAAATAAAATACATTTGGCCTTGAGGGAAGTCCACGGAGCCATTCCACAGATGGCACTCAGTCTTTGGCCCACTATGACTATTGTCTGAAATCTTTTGACAGTCTTTATCCCATCTGTCCTTGAGCTCTCTGTTGTGTGTCTGATTATTTCTGAGAACAGGCCCATTTTCTTTAAAAGGGACTAGATGAAGATTGGTTTCAAGTGTCTGGGAGGGAACCTTCACTGTCCAATTCTTTCCCTGGGGCTGGGTTCCCAACAGTTAGGCTTTTCCCTATAGGACTCTGATTTGCCACTTTTCATCACTAGTCAGAAAGAATTCAGATTTTGGTCCTCTAATTTAATGCAAGAGAACAATCAGTTATGATCCAGATTTGGGGAAATGGAATATCCAAAACTGTCCCCTCAGATCATTCTATCATGTATCTTGTCTACATAATCGGGAGCTTGTACTAATGTAATTTCATAGTGAGATAGTCACAAAAAAATTGCTTAGTCCTTAAAGTCACAATATACATCCATATACACGGCTATCATTTAGAGGCTTTTCTAAGACTTGGGCTTTATTGATAAAGGAACCTAAAATATAAAATTAAAAGCCACAGTAGCTGCCTTCTTTAACTTACTGTGCAAGTTGATTGTCCTACTTGTTACTATAAAAAGGGATCTTTTGACCAGGTGCGGTGGCTCATGCCTGTAATCCCAGCACTTTGGGAGGCCAAGATGGGTGAATCACGAGGTCAGTAGTTCGAGAGCAGCCTGGCCAACATGGTGAAATCCCATCTCTACTAGAAATGCAAAAAATTAGCTGGGCGTGGTGGTGGGCACCTGCAATCCCAGTTACTCGGGAGGCTGAAGCAGGAGAATCGCTTGAACCCGGGAGGCAGAGGTTGCAGTGAGCCGAGATTGCACCACTGCACTCCAGCCGGGGCGACAGTGCGAGACTCCGTCTAAAAA